GATGATTATGATGATTATGATACATAATACTAAGTGCTATCTATCTATCTATCTATCTATGTGTGTGTGTGTGTGTGTACACACACACATATACATATACACATACTTACATGTATATTTATATGTATACATATATACAAATATACTGAAATAATATTCAGTTATAAATAAAGAAGGAAATTTTGCCATAGTGACAACATGATTGGAACTCGAGGACATTATTCTAAGTGAAATAAATCAGACAGAGAAAGACAAATACTGTATGATCTCACTTATATATAGAATGTGAAAAAAATAAATAAACCCTGAACTCATAGATACAGAGAGCAGATTGGTGGTTGTCAGAGGTGGGGATGGGAGTGGAGAAAATGGGCGAAAGAGGTCAAAAACTACAAACTCTCAGTTAAAAAATAAATAAATCATGGCAGTATAAATATATAGCATGAGGGCTATAGTTAATAATACTTATTGTATATTTGAAAGTTGCTAAGAAAGTAAATCTCTAAAGTTATCATCATAAAAATACTTTTACAATCACTATGGTGATGAATGTTAACTAGTCCTGTTGTGGTGGTCATTTTGCAATGTATAACAAATATTAAACCATTATGTTGTACACCTGAAACTAATGTAGTGTTATTTATCAATTATACCTCAATAAATGCGCCCCCCAATCCAAACAAAAAGGATTATAAATTCACAGTATAATCAGAAATCTAAACCACTTGACCTGCTTTTGCAACTCTAGCTTTTCTCGTTTTAAAAAGTGGGGCAGTTGACCACTAACCGCTTCTAAATGCTAAATTCTTATCATTTCTGCTGACCTGAGCACAATAAATGCTTTAAAGTAAAATAGAGATATTCATTTACAAAGAACTCTCTCAAATTATAGTTATTTCTAATAATTGACCTACTTTTTACCATGAAACAGGTTTTTCTGCCAAAGATTCCCAGCTGGAACTGGGCTACTGGGGACAATATCATCTGCTTTGCTGAATTAAAGCTTGGATTTATTGCCCAAGGCTGTTTGGTGCCAGGCCTGTGCACTTTTCTCACAACTCTATTCGTTGAGCAAAACAAAAAGGTAAACTTGTAAATTGATGTTGAATCTTGGCTCTATCCCTAGGTTCTCACATATTAGGATTAGAAATAGGTATAAAAATTGAGAAGAGCAAGAAGGCTCCAAGAAATGAGATTTGATTTCTACTTGAGTTGAGAGAGGATTGAGAGACCTAGATTGAATTCCTAGGTACTGCACTGATCTTAAAAAAGTTATTTATATTATTCTTGCCTAAGAATATTTATCTGAAAAATAGAAATTATAACCCTGCTTCCTTCATGCTCTATGATGTTATGAATATAAATGTATTTATAACTAAAGAATCACTTTGAGTTGGGGAAGTCATATATCTAAATATAAAATAAATACAAAATAATCAATATAATAATACTTATATTTATCAAACAAAGATATAATGCAAGTGATAATTAAAATCTAATTTTCCATGTTATTTTTGTGACATTCCATGTAGTAATAATAATAGTGACCATATATCGAATGCTTACTATGTGTTATGCATTTTAAACACATTATGTTTCTATTCAGTAATATTTTAAGATAGTATTCCAGTAATGGGTCAGTGAAACTAACTCTGTCATACAGTAAGTGAGTAGGAAAGTTAGAATTGTCCTACCTACAGTCTCATTACTATACCCTATGTATCTGGTTGTTGGGTATATACTCATAGTCTCCCATATCATATCTCATGATACTTTTGTCCGAGACAAAATAAGCAGATAAAAGGGACAACTGGAATGAATTAACATGATACAAAGTAAAGCCCTCCAAATGCCATGCTTATGAAATACTCTAAGAAAGGTATTTAACCCCAAGCTGGGCCTGGTATTCTATTGTCCACAACTCCTTCAGAGAGTGAGTGACCTTTCTCTGCATTTAATTGTGAATCCACATCTGCCTTTTTTTACACTTAATTTCCCTCTTGGTCTGTCTTCGAACTTTTACTTCCTTTGTTCAATTAATTCAAAAAAAATTTATATCTTCTTGGTTCCTTTAATGGTGCTGTAAAGGAAAAGCTAAAGGGGAGTGAAAGATACTCTGGCCAACAAAATGCTAACTGGAGCACACAGAATTGTGTAATTCCATTTGTGAATATGAGGAGATACCATATACAGATAAATAGAAATGACCGTCAGGCAGTAGGAAATGAGCCTTGATGAGGTCACATGAACATGCTTTAACCTTCACTTAGTGGTACTGTGTATGGCCTTGGAAATGGCTTGTAAGGAAATTGTCTTTGTCTCTGTCATATGCTCAGAAAGTGGAAGATAACTGCAATATCTGTTGTGATGATTGTGATTTTAATCTCCGTGGCTGGAGAAAATAAAAGGAAGGAGAATTCTAAGTCTAAAATTCACTTTCAGAAATCCTAAACTGAGCATAATCAGAGTGAGATTCTTTAATGCTGTACTCTGCTCTAGTGCTTTAGATTCTATGATAAACTGTTAACGGCCAGACTCCAGTGTTTTATATCCCGTTTTTCTCAGATTAGATAGACATTTACTTTCTCTGTCAGTTTCTGCGTCTATGAATGAGAGCTATTATCTTGATTTTCCAAGTATTGAGTTAAACCTTCTGAGTACTCAAATTAAAAGGATCAATACAATGTGTTTTTGCTTGTTTGTTTGTTCGTTCGTTACTATATTATGTGGTGGGAGATTGTAGTCTGAAGAGCATTTCCAGTTGGTTCTAGGCACAGAACATTTCCTTACAGTCTTAAATTTAGATTGGATATAATCTATCTGATTTAAATGAGCTCCCTCATTTTACTATCCAAATCCAAAATCCATCTTGCCTTCCTGTTTCCCTTTTTCCTCTTTTAAAAATAAACTCTTCTCCATTTTTTAGCATTTCCAAAACTGAAATATTTAGATTAGAAGCACTAAACCAATTTGTTTAATAAAAGGGGCTTAAATAATGGTATGAACTGCCCAATGGGGTGAACTCCCCTCAACAGAAACATTTAAGAGAGTGGGAAAGAGCAGGAGATTCAGCTGAATTTTGGAAAGAGGTAGGAGGTGCCTGGATTGTCTGAAATAGTGGTCCTCTTTAGCAGGGGAAAAATTGTTGTTTCTGTGTTCATTTTTGTTTTGTTTTGTTTTTTTTTTCTAAACCACAAGATGGCCATCTGAGGAATATTTCCGAACTGGCTTTAACTCTCCATGGCCTCAATATTTCAGAGTTAATAGAAATTCCAGACTTTCATCTGATATTATGGGCTTTAAGGGGACTGTTCTGCCATGTCAAAGCTGCATGATATATAGTTACAGGAATACCTCAGAGATATTGTTTGCTTCCAGATCATCGCAGTAAAGCGAGTATCTCAATGAAATGAGTCATCATCCTTTTGCTGGCAGAGGGCCTTGCCTTTATTTTTATTTATTTAATTTTAATTAATTAATTTTTTTATGGTGATACTGGTTAACAAAATCCAGTAAGTTTCAGCTGTATATTTTAACAGTAAGGCATATATATATATTTACATTGTGTGTTCACCTCCCATAGTTAGATTTCTTTCTGTCACCTACATTTACCCATTATATCCCATCTACTTCCTTCCTCCCCTCTGGTAACCACTAGTCTATTGTCCATGTCCATGAGTCTCTGTTTGTTTACCCTGTTCCTTTCTTGCTTTTAGGTTTCTATCTCACAAATAAGTGATATCATGTGATCTGCAAGTTTTCCTGTCTGGCTTATTTCACTTAGCATGATTATCTCAAGGTCTATCCATGTTGTCGCAAATGGCAGTATTTCATCTCTTCTTATGGCTGAGTAATATTCCATTGTGTATATGTACCATAGCTTCTTTAGCCAACGATCTATCGTAGGACACTTCGGTTGCTTCCATGTCCTGGCCACTGTGAATAATGCTGCTATGAACATCGGTGTGCAAATATCTTTTTGGATATGAATTTTCAAGTCTTTGGGGTAAATATCCAGTAGAGGGATTGCTAGATCATTTGGTAGATAAATTCTTAGTTTTTTGAGGAACCTCCAAAATGTTTTCCATAGTGGCTGTACTAATTTGCAGTCCCACCAGCAGTGTATGAGGGTTCCTTTTTCTCTGCATCCTCTCCAACCCTTGTTATTACTTGTCACGTTGATAACAGCTATTCTAACAGGTGTGAGATGGTATCTCATTGATTTGCATTTCCCTAATAGTGATGTTGAGCATCTTTTCATATATTCGTTGGCCATTTGCGGGGGCCTTGCCTTTAATTCGTAAAAATTACAACATCTGTGAAGTGCAATAAGGCGAAGCACAATAAAATGAGGTATGCTTGTAGTTAGTCAGTAGAAAACTAATATGTTTAAAAAACTAATCTTGAACAGCCATATCTAAGGAGAGACAATTTAGATTCTGTATTATCCTTCTCATCTCATTGTTGCCGACTAAAAAATCAGTCTACTTTGCTGAAATTTTTGGGAGAATTCTGATTTCCAAGAAGGTGTCTTGGGTGCCATCTGGGAATAAACTAGGTCATGATGCTTCCACTTCATTCTGAACCCTCTAGTGAAAATAGTTGAGATATATGTTGGAGTTTTAGTTTTTCTTTAGACTTTTCTCCAGTTAAGCACTAGGACAAATCTTCTTTCTATGACCTAAATGCAATGGGTACTAGTTTGCTGCTTAGCAAAATAACAACCTGAATTATAACATCTCATATATTTTTAACAACTCATATTCTATGTCAAGTGTGTTATGTGGCATGATTGTATATTCCAGGTTTCTCTTAAAAAGCCCTGGCAAAAAAATTTTTTAAGCAGCCTGAAGAACAAAGTCCTGACTCAACGTCTCTCTGATGACTTTGCTGGAATGACTTTTCCTGAAGTTTCCCGGTGAGTTAAAAGAAATACTTTCCTCTATTTTCATGCAATGACGTTCTTTCAACAACGTTAATTGATGACACATCGTAAGCCATGTTCTAGGACAAGCACTGAAGATATAAGAATAAAAGATATAAGAGTCAATAACTCTGAGTCTCTGCAACCTAGGAGTTGTGGGACAATTTTATCTCTGTCCTAGTTGGCACACTGGCTATAAGTTACTTCAGGATGAAAATTATAAATTTGGGAGGCCCTTCCTCTCCCGAGGTGCTGGTGTTTCCCCAGGTGTAGAGCACAAAGTGTTAGTCTTATTATTGGGAACTACTGTCTTCTCTTTCCTCACAATTGCTTTTCTTCTTTTCCAGGCTCTGTTTTGTGAAGATGCACCTCATGCTGATAGCCATCGAATACAAATCCATGTTTTCCAGTTATCGGTACTAATGGGGCTTCAAATATCTTGAGGTTTTTTGTTTGTTTTTTTTTTTAGGACAATCTTTATGATTATGAATTTTCCAAAACTATAGCTACATCTAATCTTTTTGCCATCTGTTGAGAGTCAGTTTATTGGGCACCCAAGCTGCTGCAGTGCATGTATTAATATCTCTAATGATTGGGGTTAGAATCATTACCTTAGTGGGTAAACAGGCCCTTTGCTTTTGTTACTATGACCGTGCCCCAATTCTTTCTCATGAACAGGGGAGAGAAGAAATAGTCACCTTCTCAGATCTGTTCCTCTTAATATATTACCAGATCTTGCAAGTGTTGACCATGAAACCATACTATGAAATTGAATTATTTGTAATAATAATGTTTTCTCCATTCTTAGAAACAAATATGAAAAATATGGCAAAATGAGAATTTGGCCTACTTCATAAAGTCTGCTGTTGATAGGGTAAATAAAGGAAAGAGGTAACATTATCAGACCACCAGCATTTCCTGAGAACACATATTGAACAGTATGAGAAGTAAGAGAAGTTCTCATGTAATCAAAAAATAAAATCCATGACAAATAGAGAATTAGTTACAATGATAAGGAGAGAAAAGATGCTGAAAAAATAAGAAAAAGTCGGGTCTTAAATGGATGGGGAACAAGAGAGACATTGGCTTATGTGTGGTTTTTAGTGTAAGACTAACTTGAACAAAATTGGAATCAACACATTAAATTCTGATCCTGATTATGACTTGCTAGCACTATGGTCTTGGAAAGGTGTTCATCATCTGTAAAATGAGGAAATCATATTAATAACTAAAACCCCATCCAGATCTAAAATTGATATTACCAGTAACTCTGGAATTACAAGGAAGCAATCAAAATTCAATAATTTTGAGTGATAGCAGATGGACTACAAAGAAATGATTCTATATGAAAGGTTGGAAAGATCAACAGATCAGTGAAATAGAGAGAATACAGAAGGGTACTGTGCAAAGCAAGTCATTAAGGAGAGAGTAACAAATAGTATTGTCTAGCTGGCTAAACTCTATTTAATAAACCTACCATGCTCAAAAAAAAAAATCTCAAAATATAAACCTATGCACAAATGGCCTTTCTACTGAAAATAAGTCATGGTAAAAGGGATGGAGTCTTAGCATCATAAACCAGGCAGTTTAGGTTTCAGACTGGCCCAAAACTTGACAAAGTTTTAGCATCTTTAGCCTTCAGCAACCTAGGCTATGCATCAGAATTATTTGCAAAGTTTTAAAGACAAATAGAGTCCAAAACTCCATGTCTGAACTTTACAAAATCAAAAATCTCCATGGATGGGGCCTAAAAATATTTTAAGTCAGTTTATTCACTAGCATTTGGAAATGACTGGACCAAATGCTTTTAAATCCTTTTCAACTCTGAGATTCTAGATGTCTATAAACATTATTAGGATGACTATTAGGACATCATAGACCAAAAGCATGAATATTCATTAAACAATTAATTTCCGTATATATCAGAGAGGTCCTGGTGTTATTTACTGTCTGGGATGCATCTACCCACAATAAAAGAGGAACCTGCTCTAACATAGATTTAACTTTGATTTCTCACCAAGAGGTCTGGTGAATCAAAGGAATTAAATCCTGATTTGGCAAGATATTGACAATAGAAATTTTTTATATGATTGCTAGTTCACGACTAACGTGCTGTAAGCATTTTATTTATGTTATCTCTTAAATCCTCACAACAGTGCTGTGAGAAGTGCATAATTATTAGTCCCATTTTACAGAGGAGGGAGCTGAAGCCCAGAATGGTTAAGTTATTTCCCCAAGCTCATACCACTCCCAAGTGGCAGAGCCAGAATCTGAGCTTAGTCTGGCTCTGAGGACTGTGCTTCTGATCACCAAGTTGTACTAAATCTGCCACAGCCATCTATAAAAATGGAAGAAAAATAGGGCATCTCAAGGGCTGGGCTTTAGGTGAGTATATTGAAAAATGGGGAAAACCTCTTTTTTTCACCTTTTATTTGTCTCTTTTTATCAATATGCTTAAATATACTCTAAGACTTGCAAAAACCTCAGATAATCATAAAGATTTGTCTTAGGGAATAATTTGTCACCTGCTAAAAGATAAAGCTAGATCTGACCCAGTCAGATAACGTTCTGAGTTTGTTCCAGTAGGGAACATTCTCTCACAAAGCAACTGGCCATGATTCATGAGGGAAGGGGATCAAGCAATAATACCAGTTTGGAAAAACCTTCAAAGAACATTCACCTCCTCTTTCAAATGCAACCAGAGATATTATCATGATAGTATTTTCATAACTATATATTTAACAAAAGTTAAGAGGACTGTCCTTAAAAAAAAAAAAAAAAAGAGAGAGAGAGAGAGATAATGATACAATTAAGCATATGCTTGCTAGCTGTTGAACATTAACCAATGATATTTGGGACAGGAGGCACAAATCCATGTTCTTTCTCTTTCAAAGTTAAAGCAATCATTCTACTCATTAATATCAGTCAGTAAGTACTCAGAAAATGTCATCCAATGTTTCAGATAATAATCTACCTGAACACAGCTTTCTACTCTTGGCACTGGGCTGAAAAGCTTTTGTTGTGTAAGTCTTTTTGTTTTTGAAAGGCTCTAACACTTTCAAGTTACTTTGGAGTACCCTAGCAACAGAATAGAACTTGACCTCTGTGCAATGCGAACATAATAGGAATGTGTTTTAGAGGAGGAAAGTAGTATTTCCATTATGCACAAATGAGGTGCAGGGAGTTACAGAGTTATAAGACTTCGCCATAGTGGAAGTCTGGGGAAAAAATACAGGAAGTAAAAACAGGAGATCCTGACAAACATAGGGAGAAATACGAGGAACTCAAGTAGTCATGATGGAGTAGCATCAAGGAGGATTGTGAATGAAACTTGTAAGACAGCATTTTTAAACACACAGACTATAAGAAGATCAAAAATCAAAATGGTCAAGTAATGTAGAAATAGAAACAATTTATGTGGTTCCTGCTCTCAAAAATTTTGCAATCGGGAGACAAAAATTAAGTCAAACATACAAGTTCAAAAATTATATAGGCAATAAAAGGAGCTTTTGAACCCAGCTGGTTAATAGACATAATTTCATTTTAAAGGTCTAGTAGCCCAAGGATGAAAGCCACTAGTATGATCATAAAACTAGGAACCGTGTGGCCTTGGCCTAGATGGTATTGGATAGCCTAAATTAGCAAGGCTTCATGCATCTGAGTTGGTTTGACCATCTCAGTTTCAGGACACAGTCCAGGGAAGAGCTTACCTTTAGCTCAGCTGTGTATGCAGCTCAGCAATCATGTTGTGACTTGGCTCCTTTCAGCATATTTGGCAGCAATCAGAGTATTAAGTATAGTCAAATTCACATTTCTACCAGATTTGGCAGTGAAAGGATTGAGTCTTATTAACTCTGCAACTTAGAGAATCCATTGATAATGACAGAATGAAACAGCAAATATTGGCATGGATATTTGAGGGAAAAATTACTGTATTTTTATTTTTTGTTTCTAGTTGTCTGATACTAAATCCATCTGCAGAAGTAAAGCTACGTAAGAACACATTAGGGTTCTTTATTGCTGAATCTATAAAGGAAGTCAGAAGGTAATTTTTTTTTATTACTTTATGGGGAGAAAGTCCTAAAGCACATACAACTTAATAGAAGGCAGACTTAGTCAGCGCCATGCTTCCTTTGTGTTAAGCCTCACATAAGTCATTCTTGATTTGCTTTGATTGTCCAGAGCCTTCCTTTACTGTGCCACCTGTCACGGTGATGTGTATACTCCTGAGCTAATTGGACTATGTAGCTGCAAAAGCAAGAGCTATCAACATTTCACAGGTAACTGCACTTTATATCTGACTGTCCTCAGTTTAGCTTCTTGGGGGCATGGCCAAGGAAAGAGGAGAGTTTCCATTTCTTAAAGGAGAATACCCACTTGAACTTGGCCAACAAGTGGCAGACATTTCCCCAGTGGGTATACAAGACCTGCAAAGTCAGTCTTTTAGAGCTGAAAGAAACCTGACTAGTTATCTAATTCAATTCATTCACAGGCCAGGCAAATGAAATTCAAACGAAATTCACTGAGGAGCAGGTCTGTGGAGCTTCTCACGCTGCCATTCCACATACAAAACTAAAGGCTCTGTCTTAACCCTGTCTTTATTTTCTCTTTAGAACCTGAGACAGTTTTGGACATAGAAAAGAACTGTTTCTATGTAATTTCCTTAAATGTTTCAGTCTGAAAAATATTGTTGATTAAGTGGGCTTTAATACCCTATTTTGGATTCAAAAGTTAAACATTGACTCTTTTTGAAATCTATATTAATAGGAATCTTTCTTGAGACAATAGATGAGGCTGCTTAAGTAGGAGAAATATCCCGCTAAACAGGGTGTGAATAAAAAAGAAAAAAAATTATACATTAAATGTATCTCACTATACATATCTTTATACTATATGAAAATTTAGCATGGTCACATGTAGTAGACATAGTTCTGTAAATACAGTGCACAAATCAAACTTTTGCAAATAAATTGTATACATGCATATGCTTGTACTGCTGTCAGTCATTTTTTAAAACAAAAATGTTTTATAAAACAATAATCACTCCTTTATTTAGTTGACTTTTAAGTGTGCTTTTACTATAAATATTTTAAAGCAGGAAATTACTCTAGTATAATGGTGGAAATAATTTTGTTTAGAGAAAGGCTCTGCCTTCATATTTGTAGATATGCCAAATTTTACCCACTTCTATGACATGTATTTTATAATATCTAGGGAATATATTAGTAAAACTGTCAATTTGCAATTTTGAACTTTGATGTAGTTATCACAGCCCTCAGAATTTTTTATTCTTTCCATAATAGAATAATTTCTTCTTCCTGCTCCATACTGATCCTCAATCAGCACTCCTACCAATCCCCTCACACTGCTTTCAGGAGAACACTATCAATGGAACAGAGATTCTTAAACAGCAGGTAGAGTGAGTCAGCTGTTCTTGATTTCGAATGCCAGGCGATGGCAGCAGAGTACTGTGAAATGCTCACCGGTCTGATGGGTAGACAGTGAGGGTGAATTAGAAACTGGAGGGTGCTAGGCAAATCTGCCAAAAAGGACATCATTGTAGAGCGGACTGCTTGGCCTTATAGATTTAAAAGTTATTATAATATCTGGAAATTCTCCCAGATAATTAACTTTCAAAAACTTAGAAACTTTTTAATGGATAACAAAATAGATACTTTACTGACTTCGGATTTGTACACATTTCAGGACGAATATAGTTCACGTTTCAGGGCAGGAGAAGTGTATCCCCAGTCCACTCCTTTCAAATAATTATCATTTTATTGAGCTAATTAAGTTTTCTTGGTCCCGCTAATTTCTTCCTCCTACTTTACTGAATGACAATCCAGAAGATTCAAATTCTGAGTTCAGCTATATCATTCATTAGCTATGGTTTAGGGAAGACACGTTAACTTCTGGGGTCTCAGTGCCATCGTTTCCAAGCTGGGGAGTCCTCATCACCTCTGTGGCCCTTTTCTAGTCTGATATTCTATGAATTATAATCCCTCCACCTTGGATTACTTTCATTTTTCTAAATTAGAACCACACCAGAGATTCTCCACTTAAGTTCATAATCTAACATTTCAGAGAGGCAGCATGCTACAGTGGTTAAGAACGTGGATTCTGCATGGGTCACTTTTTAGCTGTGTGGCTTAGGGCAAGTGACTTAATATCTCCTTGTGATTCAGATATCTGTAAAATGTTGACAATAATATTATATATCTCAGAGGATTAAATAAGAATATTAGCAAAGAGTAGACAAATTGAATATATTAATATAAAAAGCATTAAAACCAGTGCCTGGAAATTGGTAATTATTGCATATATGTTAATTATCATATTACCTATGGGAACATAAACTCAAAAAGAATCTTATTTCTTTTCTCATCACTGAAATACAAATGAAATAAGAATGGGCAGAGAAGCTCTAGTAGGTTATACTTATTTTACACAATTTAGCTATTTAGTAAATTGGAGCAGATTCAGAATTATCCAAATAATATAGGAATTATTTTCACTTATTTGAACTATGATAAGATTTCTTAAAGGAGATGGAAAGGTGTGGAATTATTGCTATTCATATGGAAATCATATATGAGGCATGTCTTAACATGTGGTGCTATCAGCAAGGAAAGGAAAATGTTTGCACATAGCTTTCAAGGAAATCACTTCTTGAAGAAGAGAAAAAGTTAATTAAAATGTTGGCCACATATAGGACTTCCGCATTTTTTCAGTCATTCACAGGTCTTAGATACTATGTCTTTTTTGATATCTAATACTTTATCCAGAAACCTTCTTTAGAATATCCACAGGGAAGTCATAGTAAGCCATGGCAAGACATCATCAGTCTAGAGTTAGACAAAATACATTCCATTTTTTCCTTGCTTAAAATATGAAAAAATAATTACTTGCACACTGTCAGCTGTATATAGATAAAAATATAAATAAATAAAATGATCAAACTGTCTTCGAATGAAATTAGAGAAACTTTAGTTGCTTATCTACTGCCTTGAGAGAGGTCACTTTGTGTCTTTATTTTGTTCTTTGCTTTGTTCCCAAATGTTTGAAGTGCCATAGAAACTGGGGACAAGAGCAACAATAGATCATTGCATGTTCTTAACTGCCCTATCAGCTGGTAAATAGAGCACTTTTAGTCTTTTTTTTTTTTTGAAGGTCATTAGGATTATAGAATTTAGTGTTGGAAAGCACCTCAAGAGATTATGTGTCAGGCTGCCAACACACACACAGCCAGAGACTTCAGCAGTCCTTATACAGGCTGTTCTTTCCAACCTCCACATATATGTATGTATCTCAATAATTATGAAATCTTCCAAAATGATACAAATCATCAATGTGTTTTCAAAAGAAATTTTATTAAAAATGATGTAAGAGAAGATTTAAAGCTTTAGCAAAAATTTCCAGAGGTTCGTAGCACTCACCTCACCCACTTACCTCCCCTCCCCACACACCCTTTTTTTAGTACCTGGCAAATATTGTTGGCTAGAGGCTAGAGAGTTAGGCTTAAGAAGGCAGAGACTTCCTGAAAGTTTCATTGTTCCTAAGCCAGTTTGAACTCGTTGCCATTTACATTCCATAGCTCAACCTTCTATCACATGTACTCAGCAGGCTAGCCTTTATGGATTGACAGATGGTAACACATTAGTTTCAGTTTTTTCTTTAGATGTTCCCTTTCAGATCCATTCTCCTAGGGCAAAAGGTAACCGTGAAATAAGGAAACATCAGTCAACCTGAAAACCCTCATCAAGCCTCCATATGTAAGTGAAGGCTTCTGAGGATTACAGGTAAGGAATAGTCTTATGCCAAACCTGGCTCTTATCACACCTGTGTGATGCAATTACTGATGATTTAAGCAGGCAAATCACATATCCAAAGGATGTTCCTCTTCTTCCAGAAGTGTGTTTTGACTCAATTGAGATTTTCTGTGCATTAGAATGGTTCAGAAAGAATGACAACAAAAGGAGAGGGATACCAAGGCATTTTTGTGGCCTTTTTTGTCTGCCTCTGACCAAAACCTGGTAATATATGGGTTTAAAGTTATATTCCACATTAACTCCTTATTCTGAATGGTCTAAGTACAGAGATGATTCTTAAATCGACAAGGGTGGAAAAGGCCATGTCTCTTTGGCTTAGGTGGGTTGGGGAAGAAGAGTAGCAATGGCAGCTACTCTTTGACCTTATCTCGCCAATAATGTCTTCCCAGATGATCTCATCTCTGATCAAGTTCAGGCAAGCAGATAACAGAGTCCTTGAAGAGTGAAAGAGGAACATTTAACTTGCAAAGCATTCTTTAGAGTGCTATTTTTTTATTACCATACCAAGTGCCAATTCTTATTGACCAAAAATGGCTTCCTAGCCTATTTAATGTGTTGAAAGGATTCCTAGGTTGAATCTGGGTTCTGGAATAAGAATGTCATGATTGAGTACCAACATAGGGTGCAGGAAGAAGTAATAGCTCATGTGTGTCAGTTTTTTCATCTCAGGGCAACTTCACGTTACTCATTTAATTATTAAATTTTAAACATTCTTGCATTTATCCTCACAGTCACCCTTCGGAATCTCAGCATTACCCCCATTTTGCAGATGAGAAAATTATTCGCTTTTGTGTTATTTCCAGATTTTGAAATTCACCAATGTTTTGAGACATAGCTCATGTAAGATCAAGATTTTTAAAAAGTTAAAATGCATAAAAAAAGGAAGCCTTGAATAAAAAATAAATAAAAGGAGGCAATATCTGAGTAGAATGAATTGCAATCTGAGCAGTATCTGCAGAAGGGAGAAGGGGAGTATTTTCTTTCTTTGAGTCCTATAGTGGCTCTACATCCTGCTTGCAGCAAGAAGGCTCCTGGATGCTATACTCTTAGATTAGATAAGAGGAGTGATGGATTAAAAAAGTACAGCAGCAACTCAATAGGTACTTATTTTAAGCATACTATATGGTATTAAAATTCTCACAGTCATTTTCTAATTTTGTAAAAGGAAATTAAGGAGTTTTCTCTTAGAAGTTGTCTATTACTGAAGATCTGCAGCCTTTCCTTAGTCAAGGGCCTAGAAATGTCTCAGCCAATAAGAATTGTCCAAAATTTTTATGAATAGATATTATGCTAACTCACTAAGATTGCTATGCTATTGCAGAGACAACAGAAGTGCAAAAGAAAAGCACCATGAGAGGATTCCATGATACAGAAAGGCATGATTCTTTTCCAGGGGAACGGCCAAGCATGATTAGCAACTTGAGCGCTAATACCAGGTAAAGGCCTCAGAGAACCCTTGTTCCCTATGGTTTTCTGAGAATCACAGGGCAAGAAAATTTTTACTTAAACCAGAATACTTGTTTTATTATCTCCTATACTGACCAGTGGAATTGTTCCTCATCAACACAAATTCATTCCTACTTCCCCCAATATCATTAAGCTAAGCAAATATACCTTCTCAACATTCCTCAAATAATTTATATCTATGATAATCAAAGGTCATGTACTCAGTTATTTTCATATCACCTTTCTAGAAATGTGAGTTGGAACACAATTTCGACTATTCCTAATAGGAATAAGCTTTTCTATTATTAATCTATTCCCTATTTCCAACAAATTAATGATGAGATTGTCTTTGTTTTGGAATCCACAATATGGAATCAGTAAATTCTTTCTCTCCAACTCTCTCCTATGCTCTTTAGTACAGGAAAAACTTCGTTAACTAGAATACAAGGTTAGAGATGGGGGGTGTCCTGTCCAGTATATTTCACATAGAGGGTTGATCTAAAAGTTCTATTACTGTAAACTTTATTGTGGATAACTCTGTATTATGTTGCCAGCATTTCAGTTTAGTAGCTTTACTATACCAACAAAATCCTTAATGGTTGAGAAATGTGATTGTGTATGGGTAAATATTGTATTATCATTAGAGCATAGTCATTATGCTCTGGAATTGCAAAATGTAAGTTCAAATGCTGGCTCTAAGATGTGTGACCTTGAGCAAGTTGCTTTACTTCAAGGTGTCCCAGTTTTGACATCTCAACTGAGAATAATAGTAATGAATACTTTGTAGTGTTTTGTTTTGTTTTGTTTTTGTAATGATTGAATGAGATTAGATTTTTAAAGTACTGTTTTTTTTATTCCTGGCTGAGAGTAAGTCCTCATTAAATGTTCCTTTTTATTGCAAGTATTGATCATTATATCTATGAAGGTGTACGAAACTGAACTGAAAATGTAGTAAGCGAAAAGCCTTCAAAAGATGTAGATTTGAAATAAATTCTTAATCTTGTTCTTGTTATAATTTACCTCTTTCTTTTAATACATGAAAACTTGTGCTTTTGTTTAACTAAGGATTCTGAATTGATAGGTCTGGTTAGTGGAGGTTTTACTGTCCCTCTCCTACAGGTGAGGCAAGCATTAAACGTCTGAGCCACCAAAGGTGCCATCATTTCATGTGTTCACTAAGAGGAATATAGAAATCCTAGGAATTATGGCTTCTTCCCTTCATTGCCTTTAATTCCAAGATTTTATTAAACTGAGTGAGATAATCTGTGAGAAAGGATTAAGAACTGCTTAGAGGAAAGGTATTATGGAATTTTGTGAATTTATGTTTTGCCTCACTCTTAACAGCAACGAAACAGCTGCAGACTAGCATTGGGATTTGCTGATAATTTTTTTCTTTTAAAATGGCTGGTAAACAGGTATTTATTGAGTACCACTATGTGCTAAGCAGGTACCACACTCAATGCATTTATAAATATAGAAATCATGTTTTAACTCCTATATGATCTAGTTGGGGAAATAAGATGAATTCATATAAAATCAATTGGAGGCCCAATAAGGCAGCATTCCTCCAAGTGCTGCATTGATGATTCTAGCAAAAGGTTAAAGGAGGGAAAGGTCAAGGAGGGCTAAATGGATTGTTTCAGAAAGTTTCCTATGGGAGATGGGATTTGGGAAGGTAGAAGAGAGTGGAAATCTCAAGTCCTATTAAGGATATGACATGGGCAAGGCATGGGGAAAACATGGAGCCTTCCATGTACCAGCTAGCCTGATGAGAAGTGAGAATTCATGGTAGAGTGCTGTGAGAAATAATACCTCAAATTTCTTAAGAATACATTTTTGGCTATTGGTATAGTGCATATGTGTATATATGTGCGTACATTATGTTTATGTTAATGCAAAGTTGTTATAAAAACATGATCAAATTTAAAACTTGTTTTGATAATGCAAACACAACATATGTGGTAAAATCTAAAGTGTGCCGACCATATTTATGCTTTCTTTTATTCTTTGCCATGTCTTCTCTGTGATAATAGTGGATTGGCAATTCATGGAAAATCAGAACCACAGTCATCGTTTCACTAACTTTTCCCACTACTGTTTAGCAAAGTTATAAAAACAAAATAATTTAACTTATTGGTATTTCTCTCATTGTTTTTAATTCTCCCATTACCTATGATAAATAAAGAAAAGGACTAAAGCAGGCAGTCATCTAAAAGGAGAATTGATCCAAATAGCCTAGTCAATCCACAAACTGGGCCCATCTGCCTTACACCTGGCTAGATGATCCCTGAATATGCCTTAAAAAACCCCTACAGGTCAGAGATAATGATGGTAACCCATCCAGGAGAAAGTGTAAGTTACCCTTAAGATTATATCTAAAGATGATACTTAATTCACTTATACCTCTTAATTCAAAAGCAAGTTATGTTTGTATGAACTACAGAGGCTTAAAAAAACACTAATCAGGGCCATACTGCTGATTAGACAGTGATATTCCCTTAGGTAGAAAGGTGCCATTTGTGGGTGAATTTCTGTGATACTTCATCAACGAAGTTGGTTAGCTCAGTTGATTTAAGCACAGTGTTAATGGGATCAATGACAGATCTTGCTTCCACTTAGTACTATAGAATAGAGTGGCTATTTGTTTTGTTTTTTATTTTTTAATTTTTTTTGCAGGGGAAAGATAACTCCAGCCAGTGAATTGGTAAACATATGGTCTGAGTAACAACTATAGGTGATAAAATAGACTTGATGGCTTAAGAGAGACAAATAGGCATATTGGAAAAATAAATGTCAAATGCGTGGTATGTGTTCTTTGTGATCCATTTTTTCATATGTTAATAGTATTACATTCACATACCAAGAACAGATTAATATCACTTATAGTTTGCTGACAATGGGCTTGATATTTTTAAAGATGTAGTCTTCAGGCCACCAGTGGGTTTTCTGATCAGTTCAAAACCTGCTTTCTTCTATTCTCAGAATTTGAAGCAATACAGACAGCCCTAACTTAAACAAAAGTTATAATCTAATATTTCATTGAATCACTGCTGCTTTTCCTTTCCCATAGAATAAAAATGTTATAAATAGCAGTTAAGTTCTCAGACTAGCACACAGAAGTCCTTTTAATAGATGGTAGTTGAATATGTATCTGCTGAATAAATAAAAAAACACTAGCTCTATTCATCTGAGTTCTGTGTCCTTAAATCAAGGGGTCATGTAATATGCGAGAAGATGAATACTTCCTCTTCCTTTTCAGGGTGATAAAATTATATCTATGCAACATTTTATAATTAAAAATGCATCTCGACCACTCCTGTAACCCCTTTGTCTTTGCTTCCAATTTCTTTACTCTGATCACCCTACTTCGGGTGAGCTGAGGAGAGTTCACCCATTTTACCTGTCCTACAATTATTTCTTATTCTCTTCCTCTTCTCTATCAAAAGTCACTTCTTCAGTAAAACTGATTTCAAATAGATATTATAAAGAAAAGATTTAGATACAACTAATTCATATTATGGTGAGACAGACCAATATAACACAATAACCACATTAAGTCATTCAGTATTTTTAAAAGTAGGTGTTTATGAACTCAAGTAGATATTGATAGCTATCTAATCTGAAACAAGGAGAGGCACACATTTCCAAGCAGTGTATGATAGATCTGGGTCAGGAGAGAAAGCCATTTCTTATAGGTAGGTTTGTCTTTGGGCATTTCAGCCCTTCCCTAGAAATCCTCTCACTGTGTCTGCTTAATTCAATTCTAATAGACTATATTGAAATCTAAATATGTACTTTCTTACCTTTCCACTAAGTCTTTGTGATATTTATAACCAAGATCATATTTATAACATCAACTTCTTCATACTCTTTGTGTTCTTTTAGAGATATCATAGACCATGAATGTTATATTTTTCTCTCTTTCATGATGTCTAAACCCCCAACCCAGCCTTAGCTCTTTAAAGGTCAAGTGGCCCGCAAATATCGGCCACGAGATTGTCATTATAGTAGGCATGGGCCCTTGTTTACTATTCTCGTTAGCCTTTAAGCTTTGGTTTCCTCATCTGCAAAATAGAAATAATATTAGAACCTAAATAATTGAAATGTTGGGAGGATTGAATGAGATGAAACAAATTAAGTTTTTCTGTAGTGCCTAATACACAATAAAAGTTGAGCAAGTGAAAAATGACTCATGTTGTTTTGTTCTGGTCCCCCATCCCTCTCTGTCATCGTTTCTCTAGCTTGTAGATTTCCATGCCTTGCAATTAATATTTTTCACATTCAGAGGAAGAGGGTTTGAAGTTTAAGACCTTCCAAAATTTCACTACCTACTATCTACCACCCACAGACCATCACCTCAATGGAGCGTATCAATAGGGTTTTCAGCGAAGATCTATAATACAATATCTCCCACTGTTTCAGTCACTTTGCCACATCCAACTCTGCCTATAGCTTGCCATTTCCCCTCTAGAACATTCTTTTTTGTGGCAATTCCAGCTCCTTCTTTGGCTATTTCACAGTGCCTTCCAGCAAAACTGATCCCATGTCAGTCTTTAGTTTCTGAACAAATTATAGTCCATTCAGAAGGACTGCCAGGATATCCTCTTCCAGGCCAGAAGCATGTTAGTATGAGAAGTATAAAGACCATAAGGACACAGAGAAATTCATCCAACTGAGAAAAATTGTTTCTTTCTTTTCTGGCATACCCACTCCCAGCCCTATATAATTTATGCCTATACTATATGACTCCTGAGACATCTGTCCCTGTGACCTCTCACTTTTAGGTACAATGTCCCCTTACACACACACACACACACACACACACACACACACACACAGTATTCTCTTAGGGAATGAAGAAGGACCCTCCTCTATTTTTATTCTCAGTTCTGCACACCTTATTGAATTCTGTGCCTGAAATGATCCGGACAAGGGACACACCATCCTTTTGCCTCAGTGATGTCCGAACTCCTACTAAAGACCAGCTTCC